GGGGGGGGGGAGCAAAGCTCCAATCTATTCGTGGGGAGCAACACGTGCTGGGAACTGAGCTCATCGTCCCATTATGACTCCCATATAGAAAATTACATAGGATTTTGAAAAAAAATTGAGAATTTGCAGTACCAGGGCCACTAACCGACTTTAGCTAAGAGCTAGATTAAGAGATACAAACAAGCTACCGAAAATAGGCAAAAATTCAGGAACAGACTCAGACCCCCCTCCATCCTCATTACCTCACTCCGACAAGTCTTATTGCAGCAGAGCCACCATCTCTGTTGCTGCTGTACCCTATTACCATCCTACCAGCTAACCCCCTCGCTAGTAGGACTCTTGATATCCACCCTTCTTCTCCCACTCACCTTGGCAAAGTTTCAAGAAACGTCTCGAAGACCGCCATCCATCCTCTTATCTCACTGCAGCAAACTTACTCAGCATACCCTATTTTCATCCTACCAGCTAGCCCCTTCACCGGTAGGACGCTTGATATCCCGTCATCTACTTCCAACACCAACCAGCGTCGTTCTGACCGCAGATTTATGAGTATAACAACATCTCGAGACCACCAGAAACAACTGAAAGACAATTTTGAAGGTTTGGGTTACCGGGGCCATTACCCGGCTTTGGCGAAGAAAAATTAGAGTCAGATTAAGAATTACTATGACAAAATTCATAAAATAGGTAAGACTTCAGGAAATGCCTCAGAAAACTCCATCCATCCTGTTTACCTCACTCCGACAAGACTTACTACAACAGGGTCACCATCTCCGTCGCTGCTGTACCCTATTTTCATCCTACCAGCAAACCCCCTCACTAGTAGGACGCTTGTTATCCCACCATCTACTTCTGCCACTCACATAAACAAAAGTCCAGAGAACGTCCTGGAAACCCCCATCCATCCTCTTACCTCACTCTGACAAGACTTACCGCAGCAGAGTCACCATCTCCGCTGCTGCTACACCTTATTTGCATCCTATCAGCTAGCCGCCTCACTAGTAGGACACTTGATATCCCACCCTCTACTTCCAACACCAGCCAACCGAGACGTTCTGTAATCGAACCACCATAGATCTATAAATGTAACTACAAATTTAAAACAGTGAGTGGCAAGAAGCCCCCAGAATCCTGAAGCGATCTCACGACCATCAGAAAAAAAATCAAACTTACTCAAGAAAAATGAGAACTCATTGGGATTATCTGGAAGCTGGTCTAAACAAAAACCTGCTGCCCCAATGCTATCAATCGACTATCATACAACAGCCTCGACCCACATATCCAAAATACCAGGCTCTTCCAGGCCTCACAACCCCAACTGCTGGGTTACAGGGCGACGCGACCCACCCCATCTCCGACCCGCGTCGTCCTAATACCCGCTCGCAGGTAGCCACTGGACTACCTTCCACCCTTGGGAGTTCCCCAGATCTCTCTACCAGGCCGCTAACCCCCGCATACTCAGGTTACAGGGCAGCGCAACCAAACCCCACCTCCGACCAGCGTCGTTCTGATATCAACCAACCCTAACATTATGGACATGATGACGATAACCCACCGTTTGATAATCTGTTGAACAATCCGCGACAACTAAGGCTTCGACATGCCCAACTTCCTTCACGCACTGATCGTGCTCAGCACCCCCAAACCACCTGAACACTCCCCCTAACCCCGCTCCGGCAATACTTATCACAGCGGAGCTACCATCTCCGTTGTTGCTATGCCCTAATTCAGTCCTACAGACTGACCCCCTCACCAGCAGGAAGGTCACCTCCCTCCCACTACGAACCCCTCTCAAACAGGAGTGTATCACAACGACCAGTGCAAGAATAAAACACTAGAATACCGTTCTAAGGCTAGTCAAAACATCAGGAACAACAAGATTCAACATAATCACGAGACCATTGAAATTCTAAAAACTTAGAGATCACTATTCAAGACAAAGACGAGGCTCTTATTTACGATCGTCAATATGAAAGCAACAAATCGAGAGTTATCCAGAAATTTTGAATATCATTCATGATCCCACTGACAGTGTCTTGAATCAGGTTTGTAGATTATTCTTCATGAGTTCATTGAGAGTAAAAAAAATTCGAAAACATTATTCAAGATCAGAGGCAAAACTCTGATTTACGATCATCAACATGATAGTGTAATGACCTGTCAAACACAGACTGAGAACACTGCTGATTTCTAAAGTTCTGCCGATGGAATGGATGCCTTGATGAGATTCCCGCATTCTGCTGTGTTTTCTAAGTCTGTCTGTGTGTGCGTGCTAGTGACCTGCATGCCTGTCTGAGTGCTTGTTGGTACGAGTGTGTGTGGGACCCGCAAGGGTATTTGCTTGTTTGGTAGGCCCGTAGGGCCAGTACTTACCTGTGGCCGTGGCATTGAGGGTTGTAGCAAGGAAAACACTCAAGTGGCGAAGCTAGCGGCCCTGAGGCCCTTGGGGTAGCGGAAAAACACTCAAGTAGGCCGGTAGGCCGATACTACACCCCACTGCAGTTGGCGTGAGGGGGTACTGGAGGCCGAGCAGAAAAAGACAAAGTTGGCATTTTTAGAGTCCAGTAGCGGTAGGGTAGGTCTGGGCCGGTACCAATCCAACCAGTCAGAGTCTAGAGCCCGTACGGGTAATATCAGGGTCTGCAATGATGTTTCCCTCCGAAACGGAGGAGGTACCGGTTGCTTGGAGAGGCTGAGCGGCCTGGAAGTCACCGCCCAGGAGGCAAGTAGGCCGCTATATCAAGAGGCAGGGCAAAGAGCCCGGCCTCATTCTTCAGTGTGCCAGTTGGGCATCACGCTGCAGGAGCGCTAGGTGGAGGAGCGCTGGGCTCTACAGCGCTGCTGGGAGGAAGAAGCCGGGAGCTTCCACCTTGGCTATGGTGGAGCTCAGCCGGGAGGAGGAGGGAGAATGGGACCAAGGAGGAGAGTGGTAGGGGACTCACCTGGCTATGGTAGACACCATCTTCATCTCCTTGCTAGGCGCTGCATCAGGAAGGCCCCGGTTGGGGTAGTGTCGCATCAAGGAAGCTCGGACAGAGTCAAGCATGGCGGTTGAGTGAGCAGCGGCATAGCTGTTGGGTGATGACCTGGAAGAAGGGCAGCGGGGTAGCTGCTTGGGGTTGTCTTTGGTATCGGAGGCTGAAGCCTCATTAGTCTGCCATAGCCTCGGCCTGTACGTGGAGGAAGAAGAAGGGCTGCCATGGCTATGGTGGACCTCATATTGTGCCTGCAGTAGAAGTGGGATTCGTACATTGATTCTGGTTCAGCTGTTCATAATTATTATTGTTTATTTATTGTTTGAATAAGAGAGGAGGAGATAAAGAGGAGGAGGTTGTTGAGCGAAGAAGAAGAGCTTTGTCTTTGGTCTATGATGGAGTACATCATCTCTTTCTTCTTTTTCCTAATTTTTCTTCTTCTTCTTTCCCTCTCCCTCCTCTCAAGTTCTTTCATTTTTCTTGCAATTGGACGACATTAGGCTCCAATTCATTCATTTATTTTCGCAATTGGACAACATTGTACTTTTTGATGATTGTGGACTTCAAAAGTGGCCAGGATCGTAACATTGGTATTGGAGCGGATTCTACTTGTTGGCGAGAGTTGACTTGGCTGCCATAACCCTAACCCTAGTGGTAAGGGCTACCACTTAGGGTTAGGGCTGGAAGTTAGGGTTAAGTGGGGCAGCGTGGTAAAGGGAAGCTGCTCCCACCTGGCAGGGCAGTGTAGGGTCGACACTAGACCCGACCAGGTTGTTTGAGTGCATGTTTATGGTGGCGAGACAGAAGGTAGGACTTCGTGATGCAATTTGAGAGAGGCGACAGTGAAGGGCACCTACAACTTGAATCTGGACTTTAGGGAAGACGAGGAGTGACTTTAGGGCTCCCCTCAAGTTAGGCGAGCTTGAGGGTGGCAGCCATATCTGCACCTACGGATTGCAAGTTGCTGCTTTGATCTTCAACATTGACGGGGGATCCGACTGTGTACTTTGGGGTAGATGTTGACCCTCCTAGATGATAGGACACTAGTGTAGAGGATGCTAATTGGGTCAGGAGGACTATGTGAGAGGGGGGTGAGTTCTTTCATCTCAAGAGTCCGGCCACTCAGGTAAGTGCCGTGCCACCGGGGTGCCCATGTGTGCGTGCATGGAATTGACTGCCTGTTGGGGTTCTCTGGGTTCTTTTTCCATCCTCCATAGTCTTGATTGTGTGTGAGGTGTGTGAACTGCCTACTCACCTGATGAGTGAATGAATGAAGTATCTCGTTTGTCATGTGATATCTCTCTGCAGTGCTTTGTTTGTTTCATTCTGAACGTCAGTAGTCTACAGGTTCTTTTTGGGGCAAAATTTTGTTTTTCAATTCAAGTAGGGACAAAGTAGGTCTCCGTGAAACTCTTGTTGGTTGGGACCCGGTTTTGACTCCACTGGGACCATTTGGGACTCAGTGGGACTGGGCCCAAACGAGAAGGGCCCCTAAGGCCAAATTTGTTGACGTCAGTTACCTTGCGCTATCTGATTGGGATACAGACTTTATGCTTTCGGACCAGGACACTCGCTGCGGAGGGGATCTCCGCTGGAACGTTTTATCAGACTTTACCGCACAATCCGCCGCCTGACTCGCACCTTATACACCACTCAATTCTCTCTTGCATTTCGCTGTACACTTTGAATCTGATTTGCTGTGTCTTCACGGAGCTGAGTTTGGCTAGGCTTGGGAGGACCCCATACGTAGTCAGTTCAGACTGTGTGGCTGGATCAGATCTCTCTAATCTTTTTTTTTTTTTAATGTTTTGACTGCTATCCAGTCCAAATGAATTGCCGCTCCGGCTAGGAGTTCTACCTTCTCTTCTGAATGAGTTCAAGCTGTTTCTTTTATTGGGTTCTTTAATGCCTGTGTCTACACGATCGCAAACAAGAGAGAGAGAGAAAAGAGAAAAGCTATTGAGTGTTGCTCTTGAGGGAGTGAGGAGAGGGAAGAGGACTATTGGTTACAAAGCTGAAAGGAAGTACGGACCCCTCTTGAGAGTCTTACTGACGCCCTCATCCTCCATCATGGCATCTGCAGCAGATTGGAAGCTACAGATGGACGCTGCCCCTGAGGCAGAAAAACCGCAGTATCAGTTCTTCTATGAGAAAGCCTTGAAGAGGGAGGAGGAAGAGAAAGAGAGAGAGAGAAGGGATAAGGTGCAGGCCCACGAGGCCGTCCTTAGCACCGTGTCCGCTCTGACTGATGAGGAGGTAGGGGAGAAAACGGTTCCCCTCCTCAGAGCCTTAGCAGGGGTCCGGGTTGTTGAGGACCATACTGGCCAGCTCGCACAGTTGTTTAAGCAGCTCAAGAAGTTGCGCGAAGACATGGCCAAGATGGCGCAGCAGCACCGCGATCAGCTACAACAGTTTGCTAGTTCGCAGCAGGCTCAAATCGTCTCTTCACTCACCTACCCTGCCTCCAATGTTGCGTGTCAGTCCAGTTTTGCCCCTCTGAATACGTCTACTTCTTCTCCTTCTACTTCTTTTTCTTCTTTGAGTGTGGTTATCAGCCAAAGCGGATCTGCAGCAAGTCCAGACCCTGCTGCTGCTGCTGCTGCAGCGGCAAGTGGTGGTGCATGGACTTCTGGAACTGTTGCAGCCCCGGGCCCGGACCCAGCAATGGCTGGGCCAGGCAACAGCTTTGCTTACCTCGACAGGAAGGCGACACAAATTCCGTCGAAATATGACGGAAAAGACGATGTCGAGTCATGGATCAGCACCATGCGGTCCTACTTTGATGTGTTGGGGACACCCCCAGTCACTCAATCGTCGGTTCTTGGGACCGATGTGGAACCCGCCGTGAGAGAATTCCTAGAAATCCAAGCTATACAAGCAGGCTATAAACGTATAGACCTGAACAAGTGGCTGAAGGCCACGCCTGTAGCCACACTTAAGGATCTCTTGATTCAACAGTATGCCGATCCACATGCTGCAGCAAAAGCAAGACTTAAGCTTGATAAACTCAAGCACAGCAAGTGGACTGGCACCATGCAAAGCCTGCAGCAGTATGTCAGTAAGCTCTTTGCGACTCCTAATTTGGAAATGACTGCACAATCTTGCTTGGATGTGATAAAAGCAACAGTCCCCTCTGCTGAAATCCGTCGCCTGGGCCTCAGACTCGCGGAATATACAGATTGGTTTTCCCTCATGCGGGATTTAGTCAAGTTGGAGGCACAAGACCTCCCGGGTGGATCAAGTGGCAAAAGAGCCCTTGGCCGCAAACGGTTTTCTGGCAGCAACCGTTTGGTAGCACACGATCTGTTAGAGGATGAAGAGGAGATCTTCGCAGACAACCCTTCTCTTGATGACGATCAAGAGCAAGGCTGTGAGGCATCATGCTCTGCGTCAGCCCACGAGTCTGAGTTGGTGAATGATGAGGAATCCATGAATGCCTTTAAGAAGACTGCCTTTAAAAACAAGGGACTAAGGACCAGAATGAAGAACAACACTAACACTATCCTTCTTCCCAAGGGAGCAAAGATTCCATAAAAACCGGAAGATCCTGCCACAAAACCATGGGTAGATCTCCGGATTAGTGAAAGTGAGTGGAAGAACAGAGTGAAGAGAGGAGCTTGCCTGCATTGCACCAAACCGGGACATTCAGTCCAACACTGTTTCAGATTGCAGCAGGGAAACCAGCAATGGGGGTAGAGGCATCATCAACACACTCTACGGATGGAGAGGCTGAACACGTAAGTACAGATTCTTCTTTGGATTCTGATCCCACTCAGCAAACCTCTCCTGAAACCCCATCTGATGTTGATTCCAAGGCTGAGAAGATCCACATCCTATACAATGAGCTTTGGGTAGAGTCTGAAGAAATTGACTTCCATTCTCTGTTGACGCGCTGGGCTCACACGAAGCAAGAACGCGCCCAAGGGAGAACATAGTTGATCTTCTTCAAACTCTAGATTAATGGCCGTTACATCCGTGCGTTGGCTGATTGTGGCGCAACCGCCAACTACTTCTCACCGCACGGCATTCGTAAGACATGCTTGGGGATGAAGCAAGTGATTTTGCAGAATCCTTGTCGGACCCAAGTAGGCAACCAAGAGGTTGTCACATCTACGCATGCAGCCAAAAGTGTGCGTACTACCTTTGACGCTGACCGCACAATCACGCATGAATTAAATTTCTATGTCCTTGATCAGTGCCCCTTCGACGCGGTTATTGGCTTGGGCTGGTTGCAGACCCAATGTGAAAGAACCACGTGGAAGGACTCACAATTCATGGTCAAAGATGCCATGGGAATCGAGCGTCCAGTCCTCTTGGATGAGCCACGCGAGTCCCAAGTGACCTTTCTCAATGCAATGCAATTCTGCAAAAAGTGGCGCTGGCGCAAAACAGATGAGCAAATGTATATAGCCTTTGTTAGGCCTGCTCATGTGCCTTCTATTTTTGCTGTACATAATGATTCTACCTTGCATGCTGTGTCCACCTCGGATGCAACTACTTCTACCTCTACTAAGTCTATCTCTAGTCCAAATGGCTCTACTTCTAATCCTGTTGTTTTGGCTGCACCTGTACAAACTGACATGCTTGCTCCTGAGAGTGATGATCCCCCTCCGGAAATCGCACCGGACATTCGCAACCTTCTCAACCGATTTCCTTACGTCTTGGCCGAACCGCATGGCGTCTCCGTGCATCCGGTCCGATACAGGATCGAATTGATTGAAGGTAGCACTCCTCCAAAGGGTTATGTCTATCGAATGGGCCCAGACGAATTGGAGGAGTTGCGAAGGCAGATTGATGAAATGATTGGGAAGGGATGGATCAAGCCGAGTGAGTCGGAGTTTGGTGCAACGATTCTGTTTGTCCCTAAGAAAGGAGGTAAGTTGCGGATGTGTATTGATTACTGCGGGTTGAACCGGATCACAAGAAAGAATGCCTATCCTTTGCCACGCATTGATGATTTGCTTGATGTTGCAGGTGGGTGTAAAGTCTTCAGCAAGATTGATCTCAAATCTGGCTACCACCAGATTGAAGTCGATCCTACAAACCAACACAAAACCGCATTCAAAACTCGCGATGGGCTGTACGAGTTTACCGTCATGCCCTTCGGCCTCACGAATGCGCCAACCACCTTTCAAAGTCTCATGGACAAAGTGTTCCGCCATCAGATTAACCAGTTTGTTGTTGTTTATCTGGATGACATACTAATCTTCGGCAAATCGATGGAGGAGCATATGAGACACCTTGAGGAAGTGATGCAAATCCTCAAGGACACGCAACTCCATCTCAACTTGGAGAAATCTGAGTTTGGAAGGGACAACGTCATCTACCTTGGACATCGGTTGTTTGCTGCAGGCCTAGAGCCCGAGGCAACCAAGGTTGAGGTCATCCAAAAGTGGCCCAAACCTGCGAATGCCCACGAGTTGCGTTCTTTTCTTGGTCTTGCGTCGTACTACCGTAAGTTTGTGCCAAAATTCTCTATCATCGCCCGTCCGCTGTCTAGACTAGCAAGCAAAAATGTGTCCTACGCATGGAATGAAGAATGCACAATAACCTTTGAAGCGTTGAAAGTGGTTTTGGTGAGTCATCCGGTACTCCGCATTGCAGATCCCAAGCTTACATTCGTAGTAACTACGAATGCGAGTTTGTATGGGATTGGTGCGGTGCTGCAGCAAGACGATGGTGATGGCTTACGTCCGCTCGAATATTACAGCAAACGCATGCCCAGCCACAAGGTAGCCGCTTCCACCTACATGAGGGAGCTCTATGCCTTGAGAGAGGCACTAGACCACTGGAAACACTACCTCTTGGGTCGCCATTTTAAAGTGTTCTCAGACCATGAGACTTTGAAATGGATTCAGACACAGGTTAACCCATCAACCACATTGACGAGATGACTGCATGAGATTGATGTGTATGATTTTGAACTCAAACACAAGAAAGGCTGCTATAATCATGTTGCGGATGCTTTGTCTTGCCACCCTGAATATATAACTTGCCTTGCGGGTTCCTACGACCTTCGTAAAGATCTGAAGGAGGAGCTCATCGAGTATACTGCCAAGGATCCGGAACTCAGTCCCATCCTTGAGCAGATTCGGGCTGACCCTAGTAGTCAGCCTGATTTCCATGAATGTAAGGGTCTTCTCTTCCGACGCTACGGTAAGCATGACCGGTTGTGTGTACCCAACCACGAGCCAATCATCACTCACTTCTTGGATTTGGCTCATGGCCGGAGTGGACACTTCAGTGTTGAGAAGACATATGAGAATCTGATGGAAAAGTTTGTGTGGCCTGGAATGAAAAGGATGGCACAAAGGTTTGTGGCCGCGTGTGGAGTTTGTCAGCGCATCAAACCGTCTCGGCAGAAGCCCTATGGGCTGCTGCACCCTCTTCCTATCCCTGATGGTCCGGGTGAGTCTGTTTCCATTCACTTCACGGACATGGGGAAGAAGAGCAGAAACGGTTATTCACAAGTGATGGTGATCATTGATCGGTTTTCGAAATTTCTGAATCTGATTCCCTTGCCACCTCACGCCCCAACTGACCTTGTTATCGATGAGTTCAACAAAAGGTACGTGCTACATTATGACCCCCCGAAAACTCTTGTGAGTGATCGGGACACCAGGTTCATAAGCGCAGACTGGAAAGATTTCACCTCCCAGACCTACGATATGAAACTCAAGATGACGTCTGGGCGACACCCCGAAGCCAATGGACTGGTGGAGGAAATCAACCAGACCGTGATCCAGCTTCTCAGGGCTCTAATTGTACCTGATCAGAACTCTTGGGATGAGGAGTTGCCGATTGTGCAGGGGTTGTACAACAACTCCATCCACTCCTCCACCGGGATGACGCCTAACCGGCTGCATCTTGGATGGAAAATCCGCAATCCTGTATCTTATCTATTCCCTGATCAGCCACATGGCCTAACAGCTGGCCAGCCAGGCTACACCGCCAAGTTCGATCGCCTACTCAAAGTTGTTGTCGCAGCTATGGACAGGCGACGCAGTGCCATGATTAAACATGCTAACAAAAAGCGCCAGCCTGCACCATTCACAGTGGGAAGTTACGTCTGGGTCAAAATGTCTGAGTTTTCTGAAGAAGAAGGTGTATCACGAAAGCTTCTTCCTCAGTACTACGGTCCGTGGCAGGTCTTGAACCAGGTAGGGAGTGATTCCTTCGGTCCTTCCTACACGATTGATGTGCCTGCACATTTGCGCACATACCCAGTCTTTCATGCATCAAAATTGTTCCCGTATGAACCACCTGAAACGTTGAAGTACCGAGAGTCAATGATTCCCGGCGCAATCAATGGCGGTTATGAGGTTGATAGGATTGTCAAACACAGTGGGAAGGGGAGAAATAGACAGTATAAAGTTCATTTTCTGTACCATCCGTTGGACGATTTCTATTGGATTGCTAGGAAAGACTTACTGCAGAGTGCACTGCGTGTCGTTAATGCCTACAAACGATTGATAAATGCTGAACAGCAACCAAATTTCACTGCTACTCTGACTCCTACGGAACACGCCCGATCTCTCTTTGCTATCTACACCTATGATGCACTATGCAAGGACTCTGATTGAGTTACTCGCTTGAAGGGACCTCGCTCTTGAGGGGGGGGTAGTGTAATGACCCGTCAAACACAGACTGAGAACACTGCTGATTTCTGAAGTTCTGCCCATCTTGATGCGGCACTACCCCAACCGGGGCCTTCTTGATGCAGCGCCTAGCAAGGAGATGAAGATGGTGTCTACCATAGCCAGGTGAGTCCCCTACCACTCTCCTCCTCGGTCCCCTTCTCCCTCCTCCTCCTACCGGCTGAGCTCCACCATAGCCAAGGTGGAAGTTCCCGGCTTCTTCCTCCCAGCAGCGCTGTAGAGCCCAGCGCTCCTCCGCCTAGCGCTCCAGCAGCGTGACGCCCAACTCGCACACTGAAGAATGAGGCCGGGCTCTTTGCCCTGCCTCTTGATATAGCGGCCTACTTGCCTCCTGGGCGGTGACTTTCAGGCCGCTCGGTCTCTCCAAGCAACCGGTACCTCCTCCGTTTCGGAGGGAAACATCATTGCAGACCCTGATATTACCCGTACGGGCTCTAGACTCAGACTGGTTGGACTGGTACCGGCCTAGACCTACCCTGCCTCTACTGGACTCTAAAAATGCCAACTTTGTCTTTTTCTGCTCGGCCTCCAGTACCCCGTCACGCCAACTGCAGTGGGGTGTAGTATCGGCCTACCGGCCTACTTGAGTGTTTTTCCGCTACCCCAAGGGCCTCAGGGCCGCTAGCTTCGCCACTTGAGTGTTTTCCTTGCTACAACCCTCAATGCCACGGCCACAGGTAAGTACCGGCCCTACGGGCCTACCAAACAAGCAAGTACCCTTGCGGGTCCCACACACACTCATACCAACAAGCACTCAGAGAGGCATGCAGGTCACAAGCACGCACACACAGACAGACTTAGAAAACACAGCAGAATGCGGGATTGTCTTTAGTATCGGAGGCTGAAGCCTCATTAGTCCGCCATAGCCTCGGCCTGTACGTGGAGGAAGAAGAAGGGCTGCCATGGCTATGGTGGACCTCATCTTGTGCCTGCTGTAGAAGTGGGATTTGGACATTGATTCTGGTTCAGCTGTTCAACATTATTATTGTTTGAATAAGAGAGGAGGAGGTAAAGAGGAGGAGGTTGTTGAGCGAAGAAGAAGAGCTTTGTCTTTGGTCTATGCTGGAGTACATCATCTCTTTCTTCTTCCTAATTCTTCTTCTTCTTTCCCTCTCTCTCCTCTCAAGTGCTTTCATTTCTTTTGCAATTGGACGGCATTGGGCTCCAAAGGTGGCCAGGATCGTAACAATAGGATCAAATCAGAAATTACTCAGAAAATTTTGAATTCATTCATGAGTCCGCAGTTCTTGGATCAAATTAGAATTGAAAAACCTAAAGCTACCTGTCATGAGAAAATCAAATAGAAAAATCCAAAAAGTTAAATTCAAAAACCAGAAATTAGAATAAAAAAGACAGGTTTACAATCATCTAAAAATCGAAATCAGGTTACTATCTTGAAGCTACTTCCAAAAAATGAGATCAGAACGAAAAAAAAAGGGGGGTCACTCAAACCACGAAGAGCAAAACTATGGATCAAAACATATAAACTAACCTCTCATCATGATGTGTTTTGTCTCCCCCAAACCTTCACCTCCTCCTTTATTGGCCCGAAGGCAACTCAGCCATCACATGGCCACTCTCCTATGAAACACCCGCGGGGTTGAGCTCGGAGGGCGACCGTATATACGGCCGCGTCGGCGGCTGATCTCGTTCGCGCCGCGGACGTATCTTTTACCGCATTTTCCTTAATTAAATAATGGGTAAAAAAAAATAAAAATAATATGGGGTTGTAGGGATATTGTTTTTTTTTGGAAACAAATATTTTTTTAGAATTATAATAAAAAAAAAAAAGAAGAGGTGGAGAAGAAAAATTGAAAAATAAATTTAAAAATTTTCTTTTTTTTGGGGGGGGGATTTTTGGTTGGCAGTTCTTTGTATTCTTCATTTTTACGGTTTTTTTTTTTTTTTTGTCCTAAGGAGACAATCAAGGAATGGAAAAAAATATATATATCTTTTTTTTCCGGGGCCTTTTAATATTTGTGTGTGAATGTGTGTGTATGTGTGTGTATGTGTGTGTGTGTGTGTGTGTGTGTGTGAATGTGTTTGAATGTGTGTGTGTGTGTGTGTGTGCACGCGCGTGGTGGGTGGCGGGGGGGTGGTGCGACCCCTCCCCCACCACTCAATCAATCAATCAATCAATCAATCAATCAATCAA